TTAAGAGTTGATGGTCGCTATCTTCGAGGCATGGCCAATGCTGAACAAACATATGAGCAATTCAAGAGTGGCAGTGGTGCGGTGAAGCTGATGCTGAATTTTTCAATTTTCATTACCCAGTTGGCCTCAAATTTGGTATTTTGCTTGTAAAGGGCGGGCTGAAATACGCGGTGCTTCCCGACAACTGCCACGGTTGTGTATTCAGTTAATTGAGCTGGACAACTCTTCACCACTTGATTGCCTATTTTATGCTAGATCTGTAAAACAGATAGAATAAATTGGATTTTAGAGGTCTTGGCCACAAGGCTAATGGTTTAACATTGTGTATTTGTAATCAACCATAAACAATGGGATTTTAATCTTTTACTTGACCTGGTTGTATTATGAATAACACAAATAAGTTGAAGTTAATTTGTTGTTGCTCCATGTCCAGGACCGTAGAGCGTGGAAGAGTCTTAGGATCATTTTTCATGTGGTACGTATTTTAGTAATTAGCCACCTACCCCACGATATTTTTATTTTTTCAATTAAGTAAATGACATGTTCCCACCAAGGTTTAGCGAAATGGCAAATTCCCACCTTGTTTTATAAATTTCATATTCTTACGTTTAAATTAACAAAAATCTTTTAATTAAATGGCTAAAGGGTAATTATGTCTTTTTATCCAAAATTTCTTACAAACCAGCTCTTCCTCAATTCCAGCACCACCAACCCAAAACCATCCCTTTGCTGCAAAACCCACACCATCTTCCAACTACCACAAAACCCCAACTATGTGACTTTTCATCTTCCATGGCCGCGCGACTTTTCGGCTAGCCTTCAATGCCAACCTGCCGGCACACCCTACCACCCACACTTTAACCCTAGCACTCGCACCTCTTGTCGACCACCCTAGCACCTCGCAATTGTTGCACGTGCACGTTGGGGATGGAGGTCACTGACTACGACCTTTTGTCAAACACGTATGCGAGATGGCAAATGTCGAAGGAGGGAGGCTCGAGGAGCGTCGACCACCGGGAAAAAACTAACAAGCCCTAAACACTTCTAAAGTAACCTCAATCGAACTCCAAACAACACAAACCTCCAACAATTTTAAACCCCAATCATCATTTAACTCAACCAAACCCTAGAGAGAGGCTCTTCAATCAACGGTGAAAAAAGGGTGAACAGGGTTGAGAAATATAGGGGTTTTGGAGTGGGCGATGGAAAAAAGGTTGGTACGTTGCAACAAAAAAGGCAAAACCCAAATGAGAATGGATGGTTTGGAAAGGGTTGTGGTGATTGTTTGGAATGAGATGGTACAAGAGTAATTTAGTAATAACACTTTGTCATAGCTCTACAGTCACTAACAATGTCACTGTAAGGGTAGGAATATGGAATAAATGAAACAATGGTTGGAAAATTACCATTCGCTAATCTTTGGGTCGGAACATGTCGTTTGCTCTTTTCAATTTGACTACTCCAACACAAAGTCACCTAAATTCATATCAAATCAGCCACCCTTCATCACCGTACATCTTCTTATCAAATCATCCAACGCCTGCGGTTCATAGGCAAACAACCGCCTTAATAACATCCTACAAAATTTCTTTTACAATTTGACACTCTCTCCCCTAGTCACCGTAAATCAAACTCCCCTGACTTTCTTCACTCTTTCCTCACCAAAAAGATATGGCTGAATCTCCATCTCAGACGCCCTCACCGACGACACCTACCGCCTTTTCCGATCCTGATACGACACAGTATTGGTGCTATCACTGCGAAAAACGCGTCTCTATAGAAACCCTAGCCAATCTTCCTGATGTTGTTTGCCACGAATGTAAGAACGGCTTCGTCGAATCAATCCCCGCTCCAACCTTCTCACCACCAACACTCACTCCTGATCACGTCGACGATCCTTCTTTTGGATCCCAGTTCCTTCAGGTCCTCCGTTTAATCGCGCATGCCGCGCGTGAAGAGGACGTTCCTCAGCAACAAACTCAAGATCCCCAGTCGGAAGAAGATTTTCTTCGAATTGAGCTCGATGGATGGGAAAACGATGATGACGATGACGATGCGAATGAAAACGAACAGAATCAAAACGACGAGGAGGAGGAAGACAATGAAGACGACGAAGACCATGAAGGAGGAGGAGAAGATCACTCTGATAACGAGAACGAAGAGAACAGAGAAATTGATGACGAAGAAGATCTGAGACGAAGGCGACGCGCAGAACTCCGTCTCCGGATCCGAGACTTCGCGACACGAGCAAGAACCGGACGCAACCGGATCCTGGACTGGGCTGAGATTCTGATGGGCCTAGAAGACAACTCAATCGAATTTCGCCTAGAAGTTCCAGAATCTGACCGTTACATAGGTAATCCAGAGGATTACGTGGACGCCGCTGGCTATGAAGCTTTGCTGCAGAATTTGGCAGAAAGTGACGGTGGAAGGAGGGGGGCCCCACCTGCAGCAAAATCAGCTGTATTGGAGTTACCGACGGTGGAGATACTGTCGGAGCAGGAGGCAATTGTATGCGCAATATGTAAGGACATGGTGAATGTTGGTGAAACGGCGACGAAGTTACCGTGTGCACATTTGTATCACAGGGATTGTATTGTGCCGTGGTTAGGTTCGAGGAATTCATGTCCAGTTTGTAGATTCGAGTTGCCAACTGATGATCCGGAGTATGAGGAGGAGAGGAATAAGAGAGTTAGTGTCAGTGGAGCTTCAGTTTCATCCGGAGAGAATACGAGTTCGGGTTGATATGAATTGGTATCCTCCGAATTTATGTGATTTTCATTTTTATTTTTAACTTCTGGTTTATGGACTTTTGGCTTTTATTTGCTTGTGAATTAAACCAAGTGACAATTTTTTTTTTTTTTTTTTTTTTTTTTTTTTTTTTTTTAAAGTTTACTGTCCATATATATAAATATTAGCTCAATATGGGATGTTTAATGCTCATGTGCAACCCAATTCTATACTGACGATTGAAATAAAAGCATAGGAGGCATTGCATTCATTGGAGAAGTTGAAGTATGCCCCAACATTGGAACTGGAAATTACTAGATGTGTACCATTTTTCTTAGTTTAGTTTGAGACCGATTTAAGTTTGCAAGTGTCATGGTTTTTTTTCCTTAATTTATAGTGACTGTTATGCCTCATTATTTCCTTCAAATTTTTACACATTGGAACATTTAGAACTTGTAGTTTTAAGGGTAATGTATGGTATGTTTTGAAATCATCGATTTTAGCTACTATTTTTTATTTGGTTTTATTTACTTTTATATGCATAATGCATGGGAAAGAAGAACAGGGTGGGGAATATTTTCAATTGTTGATAGAACTTTAAGAGATGGCAAGGTGGTGGTTGCTCCTGCTGGGCAATTTTCTTTTCAATGGAAACCATCAGTTGGCTCTTTGCACATTTTGGGTCTTTCCTTTGCATCTTGCTGTGTGTATGTGTTGTAACAGTTTCCATTCTGGAAGTGCTTTTACTCATGCTGCACTATATCACGGGAAATTGTGTGTTCTTGGAATTTGTGGTTTATCTGTTTTATGATTATGCAGCTTCTTCACCTTGTAGGTGCATGTCTACCATATCAGGCCTGCTTTCTGTAGCTGTTTCTTATGTGGTTATATCCGTACTCCTCCCATGGATAATATACGGTTGCATGTCTAGCTTATCAACCCACCCTCCTAAGATGGATAATATTCTTAATCATCATTGGTTGTGAACTAGTAAATGGATGTATGCCATAAGCTACATTCTATTTTGTTTCAGACAAGTCTTCCTTTTGCGATTTTTTTGTTGGTGGAAGTTTATTTGTTCTCTTTTCTTTTTTTTAGTTTAGAACGTTTTATGAACACTTTTTGAACTCCTGGATTTGCATTAGGTGTGTTGAATGCATTTTTTTTGTATAAAAAATATATGCAATCTAGTTCATAGTGAACTTGTGCAGAGGATTGGTTAACAATTTCACAGATTGCTTTCAATAGGTATATGTCTGTGTTTGAATGATTTTGAAGTATTTGCTTATAGCATATTGGTTAATTTAGTTTCATATTATATCTCCTAAATGATAGATGCTTAGTGAAAAACTTTGTATAGATGGACTAATCATTTTTAACGGGCAAGCGCATAACAAATTATTTCTGCTTTTGGGGCTTATGCTATATAAAAAGAAGGGTCCTTTTGTTCTTTTTGCTCAGGGGTTACTTTGCCTTGTTCAGTTCAAGTTGAATCATTATTGAAACTTGCTGAAGTATTTGGCGCCATGGGTACTGTATGGAAGTAGAAACCAATACACGGTTTATTTAAGAGAACTGAAAGTAGTGTGATGTATGTTTATCCTTTAGATTAGTGTTTCCTTGCAGCTGCAGCGTGTTTTGGATATTCAGTTGGCTTTTAATTATTGTGTTTTAGACTCCTTTTGCCTTTCAACCATGCTATCAAATCAATTGGTTGTCTGGCAAGTTAACGCCTTTTCTTTTTTAATAATTGAAATTGCTTCTTTTCCGTTTAGCACTAATATTGAAATGCGAGAATTTTGATTAAATGTGAACAAGTCAAAAAGGGCGTAAGTTAAAAGTGATGATTTGGATGAAGATGAGGCCACCAAGGTAGTAGTATCCCAAGAATAAAAGCTTTCCTAGATTAAAAAAACATTTGTTTGTTCCCACTTCTACATAATTACTAGAATTTATAAGTTTTCTCTTCGCTGGACCTTACTTCCAAGACATATCCTCTTGAATGAAGCTGTTTGATTCTTTGCTTGACGTCTTGGAATATCCTGTGCCCAGAATCTACTACAAAGCTTATGTGTTGTGCTTTGCCCTCAAAAATTCAAAATAATAGTGTGTTCGTACATGTCAAAAGGAGGACTTACAATTCAACTGCCAACAGAAGAATGTAACTGGTGTCAGACCCAGACGCAAATCTAGCCAACTGGTTTCCAACCACAGCTTAACTGAGATAAAATCAATTACATTGTAAAATATAAGCACCACTGACCAGCTTCTTTAAAATTTCTGTGATATATATGGGAGAAGTTACAGCTACATCATGTACCATGCCTTCTATGTTTGCAATGGCCTTCTATAAAACACAGAAATGAAAAATTAGAAAATAAACCAAAGTTAAAAAACAATTAATTAAAACCTAATTCTTTCCTTCAGCAATTAATCTCACCAACTATATTACATTCATAATCCCCACCTTTTATTCAGTTCTAATTCCCCTCCCGTCCCGTCAAAGCCAATGGGCTTACTCACTCTTCTCAATTACCTTGGCAATGCGAGCATCAATCAGCTTGATTGGCTTTATGATTGATTGCCAAGGGAGGAAGGAGCAATGATAAATATTAACTTCCTATTTCCATGGAGGCTGCTGCTGATTTCTATAATTATATGGGTACGCTTCCCACCCACTATCAGGTTCCTTCCTTTTCCCACCAACCCCAGAACTTGACGACGGTTGCGAGCCTACCCTTAAATGCTCCTCCATTGAACGGCCTTGACCAGGCATGAAAAGCTGTCTCAGACCAAGCGAGTCCCTATTTCCTCCCTCAACTGGAAAACCAGAATTCAGATCAAAGTTAGGCCGTGAAGGCCCTGCCCCATTTAATCCAGAAGGTCCACTGCTCGGGCTCATCATGAATGGCGATTGGGAATAAGATGGCGGAACAGCTGCTGCAGAACCCACAATCTGGGGCACAACAGGGGCTCCTCTTGAATCCACCATATAAGGAATTGAGCTTGCTGGTCCATACATGGGCGAAGAGTAAGACAATGTGGTTGCAGCTGCAAATCCATTGTATCCCAAAACAGGGGAATGTGTGTAAGACACTGTAGGACCCAATGCCAAAACACTTCCAGTCCTTGCCATATTAGTATCCATGGCATTTTCAAGTGCCTTTCCATTTGACAAGGGTGCAGCCTGAGGAACAAAACCCTTCCTATTGACTTCCACTCTGGTTCCCATGAGAGATATAACAGGCTCATCTGATTTAGACACTGCCCCAAAAGCACTCACATTTTGGGGAAATTTACCATGATAGAGTCCTTGATCTGAAAAATCATTCTGCAAATATGGTCTGTCATTCAAGTCAATGTTCCTCAGGGAAGGCGGTTGCATGGATGACGATGAGGATGCAGGAGATGGACTGCGATGGCCATTCCGGTTGTAATGGAACCGTCCATCCATCCTCAGATCTGTAGGTGGAGCATCACTATCATCACTGATACGATTTAAATCCAGCTTCAATCTCTCTGATCTTCTTGGACTCACATCCAACGAAGATTCTGCAGAATGGAGACCAGATGAAACTGGAAGTGGAATCTGTTTCTCTGCAACTACATCAACAAGTTTATCATCTCCACACTCAGCCACATTCAGATCAATTTCGAGGCAATCTGGCCTCTGTTTTGAACTGTTGCTGATTCCCCCAATAGTGAGAGATGTTTTCTCAGAGTCAGAGACTCTTCGAGGGGATGCACGACGAAAAGCACTAGTAGCAGCAGTTCCTTTCCATCCAAGAGTCCCTTCAAACTGCAGAGGGGCCGCAGGCAACCCAGGTGCTGCTACTGGTCTAGAAGCTGAAACCACAGAAACAGGGGTCGACACAGGATTAACTAGACGTTCCATATCATCTGAACAGACCTCTTGATTCAGATCAAAATCACAAAGGGCTTTAACTTCTGGTTCATGAGCAGCTTCAGTCACCTGAGAGGACTCCATGTCAGCTATACCATTTTCTCGTTCAGTTCCAACATTATCTGAATTAATTACATGGCCCTCACCCTCAGGATATGCCCCAGCAGAATAATTTTGTCCAGTTGGCACCTCATTTGGTGGGACCTCGTTAATTAGATCCTGCTTTCCATTTATAGAATCTGGGCTATCTGGCCGTCTAAAGCCACCATCTGAAATTTTCTCAGAAGAACTGAACGACCGATCTCTATAGTCTACAACTTCTCTTTCCACTTCCTGAGCAACTTTTCGGGCAACTGCTAAGGCATCAACTATGCCATACTCAAGTTCAATATCAGATTTCCGTTGATTATTCACCTCAGGACTCCGGCTACCCATTGACGTTTTCGAAAAATCACAATCATTTCTTGAATCAGAACCTTCATCACTAGTATGCTCCTTATCATCATCAATTGCACCAATTCCTTTTATTCTTGAAAAAGAAGTCTCTAAATCCTTGTGTTTTCCATATATACACTCATTACCCGATGAATCCTGCATCGCATCAGAATGACATTCATCATCTTCACCTGTTGTCTTCAACAACTGTCTACTGTAACTATTTGCAGCAGGCATATCATCTCTCCCACTATTAAGCTCGGATACAAGCGTTCTCACATCACTGAGTGCAGTAGCTTTTATATGTAATTCATCCTCTTTGTTGTCAAAATTGTTTTCTAGAGCGGATTCTGTCACAATCTCACGAGCATTTGCGACATCCGCACCAGAGGAAACAGTTCTAGAGTCCACTAAATTAGAAGTAGAGGCACCCACCGTCACACGGAATTTGTCTGAGAAGCTGCTCACCTTTTGGGTCTGCTTTTCATCATTAGTGAACTCATTCATCTTCAGATCATCCAACTGCTCTTCATCATGGCTTTGTTTTGGAACTGGAGAACTACAAATCTCAATGCACGAAATCCCTTCAACTGTACTTATTGGGGATTTCTCTGTGATTAAAGTACCTTCTAGAACTGAATTGTTTGACAAGACAGATGAGGTCAGATGATCTGGAGGTTTATCCTCGATGTTAGTTTGGTCCAAACTTACGAGAGAATGTTGCTCATTATTCTGGGTTTGGGTCTGAACCTCTTCTGCCTTTTCCTGTCTAAGACTTTCTGAATTTGATGGCGAAATTTCTGCTCCACTATTTTCTTCTTTAAAACTAGCTTCAGTAGGAACATCTAATGCGGAACATTTTGACTGACTACTTTCTTCAACATCCACTGAACTGACTGCAACCCCCTCAGTATGACAAGGCCCAACACTATCAACATCATGGTCAACTGCATCACTAACTCTACCCTTCTTCCAGCTATCAAATAGTGCTCTGGCTCTATCCTGAACCTGAGAGCTACCGTGGTCAAGAAGACTCTTGACAGTAATCCAGATCCCAGAAGAAATAGAACGCTCATTGTCAATATGTAGCTTTTCGAGCGCTTGCAACATTGCAGTAATTGACTCTTCTACACCACTTTCATTAGTCTCATTGCAAAACTTTTGAGCATCCTTCAGCCACCTATTAATAAACCATAGTCCATCTAATTTAACAAAAAGGTCAAGACAATCTCTGCTCTCAGTAGCAGCAATAGCATTTGCAATAGCAGCCCACTGCCTGGTTCCATCACCAATGTTCTTCACAACACTATGTTTCTCCTTCTGCATTACATTGATTAGTTCCTCAACTCGTGACAGGTCTGTGAGACCATCCTTCATCTTGGTCTTTGAAAAGAAATCTTCCAGTGTCATTGTGCCTCACATACCATGCTTCAAAACAATCCCAAAGGTCAATATGACATGCTAATAGGTTTTCTTTCCATCAAATGCTGCAATCACCTTCCGGGTCATTATTGAGATACCCTGCATGACATAACAACATGAACTGCCTAAGCATATACACAGTCACTAATAATATTTTTTTTTTTCCAGTACATACAACAATAAAGGAACCAAGAACCTTGAAAACAAGCACTGCAATCAGAAGCTCAACCAATCACTAGCTCATTAAGAACAAGTGCGTATGCGTATTGACTTGAGAAAGGGCAAATCATACATGGTCCTATATTGATTCTTAAGCATAGATATATACATGATAGATTGCAAACAGAAAAATGATGAAATGGACGTAAAAGATATGGCCCATGTATAAGTAACAAACATGAAAATATAATCATGTGCATACAAAAGTATTTCCAATTTTTGGTTTGGCAAAGGGGGGCAAGTATTCCAGCCTTTAAACTATACTAATAAGATATTTGGTTTATATTAAATAATAAATCCAGAAGTAGATTAAGGAGTATGACAAGATACTTTTTGCATAGAATCTGGATAAAAGTGCTTGCCATGCTTGAATTGAGAATCTAAAATATATTGCTAGAGATAACAATCATTCCTACTTATAGAATAACAAAATCCGTCAATGCAGCTGTGTCCATAAAACTGAACATCTGACCATTATGAGATTACTAAAATTGCAGTAGACAACAGTATGGAATGTTAAAAGGTGGTGAACTCAGTAAAAGTAGAAACTTCAAAAGACATAATCTATCAGAGAACTCCAGTAAATTGCCAAAAATCATTTATGAAAGCAGTAAGATGTGTTATAACATGGATCTTATATAATAAGTCGGACATTTATTGCCATGGAAAAAATCATATATGAAACTGGGAGACTGAACCACTGGTCCAGTTATAGCCCCACATAACTGATGTAATGGTACTATATTAGATGGAAACACACACACACACACATTGGTTCCAGCAATTTTAAAACATTGAAGAACTAGTCCAGATATCCAAAGTTAATGAGGACATAACACAAACAAGACTTACCGTGCATACTAAATAAAGAGCAACCTAAAACTTCTTTTTGCGTCCACAAATCATACATATAATAAAATTATACCACCCCATCAAGTGCACATTGAAAAAGAAAAATAGCAAACATCCAAATCAACTAGGGAGGACAAGAAAATATCTCCTTTACTATCCCCACCCAAACAAAAACTAAAGCACATATATGCTGCTTGACATTGACATGTGTATGCTGCTGACCCTGAACTCATCCAACTATTTAACTTCAAGAACTCATTCACTAAGTCCATTTATTAGTTATGCAACACCCATATGAACAATATGACGTTCTCAACAGACTTAGACAGAAATGAATTAACTAATCTACTCCTTAACAAAAACTTCATTTGGACTTGATTAAGCAACAAATCATGAGCAAGTTCAACAATAACAAAAAGGACATGTAAAACGGTCATAAAACTCAAGACCAGGAATGTACCACAATAACTAAGCCATAATAAATTAGGATTAAACAATACAAATGCCAACAAAAAAAGAGAATTGATTTCCATATTTAACTGATTTAATGCAACAATCATGAATATTGATCATAAGAACATTGTCTGAGCTACTGAAACGAAATAATTCATCCTCGATGACAAAACATATCTAACAAGAACTCAAACACAAGTGTTAAAATTCAATAGGGGTACAAGGTCATGAGACAATTTTTCAGTACTTTAGTTTAAATAATCTTTGCTAAAGAATTAATCATATGCACTAGTTCTAGTTAATGCATACGTTCCATAATTGGAAGAAGACAAATCAATAACCAATCTCACCACAGTACTAAAGTTTAATGAACTTACAATTCTACAACTTGCATAAT